CCACGGCCCCCGTGCTGTCCAGCGAGATGTTCTGGGCATCAGCCATCTCCCCATCAGATGGGCACCTGGAGAGAAGCTGGGGGCTCAGGGCAGAGTGGCCAGCTTTAGGCATTCAGTCCTGGGATCTAATCCCCCCTCGTCCCCTTACGCCTGCCTGGGCCAGACTAGGTGTTCATAGTGGGACAAGGAACTGAGCCCAAAGACATCATTAAGCCTCATTGCGTGAGCCCCTGGCAAGAGATAGGATGGGCCCGCTCAAGCCCAGGGCTCGAGGGTTGAAGTGTTAGGTGAGGCAGGTAAAGGCATAGGCAGGTGGTGGGGACATGGTGGGTGGAGGTACGGGAGCCCCAACCCCAGGAGCTGGCTTAGTGTCCTGACTTCTCCAGCCCAGGGAGCCCCTTGAATAATGGGTTCTAATTGGGAGCTGTACCCTCCGCAGAGCACAAGTGACATCTCTGAGGGACTGAAGACAACAGCCCAGTTCCGCTTAGTCCCCATAGTGGCTCAGGTGGGAGAACCCCACAGATCTCTGACCCCCTTCTGCCCCTAAGGAAATGGAAGTTCAGACAGGAGAGACACCGGAGGGAGGCGCTCATTGAGTGGTGCGTGCATCTGTGCTCCGGTGCTGAGAGCTAAGCTGAGGCTGTCACAGTGGTGCCTCAACACACGAATGGTGCGTGAGCGCGCTGTGTCCTTCCGCACCCCCACACCCCACTCCCAACAGCAGCACCTACCTGTGGATGCTCCTAGGTACCTGGGATATCCGGGCGGTGGGGTGAATTAGGAGCAAGGCAGGAAGAAGGGAAGAAAGGTGCCCAAGCTCCCAACTTGTAGTCCCTGAAACCCAAAGGGGTGGCACCCCACCTGGCCCCTAGATCCGGGCCCCTGCTTGATCCAGGGGGCAGTGGCCAGGCTGAGCTCCTCCTGGCTGAGCAGCCACTGCTCCGCGGTCCCTCCCCTCAGGTCCAGGGCTTCTTCCTCCTTAGCTCTTCCTCTTTAAGGACCCTCCTCTGCTGGGCTGGCTGTCCTCAGGAGCAGCCACTGGCCAGCACCTCTCCGGTTCCCCTGGGTGGCATGCTCTTCTGCCTGGCTCCTCTCTGCATGACTGTTGCCTCTCTTTCTGCAGCAGCGAGTAACCCATTGATCCTGCTCGCTGAGATGCGCTTGGTAGTTAACCCCTCCGTGCCCAGGGCCCAGCCGGCACCACTTCCTGTGGCCCCGCCTGAAGACTGGTCACATGCACACACTACTCAGTTCCCTTCCTGCTGTGAGCCAGGGCCTTGCTCCCAGATGTCCATTCTTGGATGGAGCAGGTCTGGGATCTGAATTCACATCCCCTTCTGTGGGGCAGACCCCTCCCCATGGCTCTGAGCAGCTCCAGAGCCCCATTTGGTCCCAGAAACTAGTTCCAGGGGCTCAGCTTGGCTGGAGAGCAGAGGGTTTGTGTGTCTGTCCAGTCTGACTTTAATCCGAGGACAACAGGGAGCTGATAGATCGATCCCGGAGCAGGGATGTGATGGGTCCATTTGTTTTGCAGGAAGATTTCCGTGGTCTGGGTGACAAGAAGGAACGAGAAGTGGGCAGACTGCATGAAATGACCCAGGAGAAAGGCAACGAAGTCACAGGGTTTGGCAAATGACTGTGATTCAGGCTTGGGTTTCTGACCTGGCCCCACTGGGGAAGGAAGGGGCCAGATGCCCCCGTGGGGGTGGGGTGTACTGGGAGAGCAACAAGGACAGGTGGCTGAGTTTGGTACTCCATTCTTTCTGTCGGACAGCCTGTGGGTGGGGACAGATGACGGGTTCCTAAGCCTAGAGTGGGGGCGGGTGGTGGGTGGGGGTGAGGGGCAGTTACTGTAGAGAAAGGGGTAGGAGTGTGTGAAATGGTGCTTCCCACAGCAGCCCTGGCTTCATTCCAGGTGGGGAGGGGCTCAGCTTGAGGATCCAAGTGGAAAGGGGTGGGGCCAGTCTTGATGCCTGCAGTAAGGAGGGTGAGAGTAAAGGTGGCAGGGACAGGGTGCAGTCTTCCTAGAGATGGAGGGGTGGGGGACCTCAAGGGGAAGTCTTAAAAAGGGGGAAGGTCGGGTGGCAGAGCAGTAAAGAAAATGTCCTAAAACTGACTGATGATAGTTGTGTGACTTTTCATGATAGGCTGAACTACTGAATTGTATGACAGGTGAACTGTAGGCTAATAAAACTGTTGGGGAAAAGAGTTACCGTCTTTCTTGGGGGTGTGGCAGGGGAGATTGGGGGGAAATGGGGAGCTAATAACAAGGGATACAAGAAAGAAGAAAATGTTCTAAAACTGTGGCGTTGACTATACAAGTCTGATGAGATTGAGCTATTGTGTATGTGGATTATATCCCAATAAAACTGTTAAAAATAGTTACAGGGTATCTAACCAGATGAAGCCACTGTCAGATCCCCATGAGTCTTCTAGCTGCAAGTCTTGCTTGCTTGTTCCATGACAAAAATTCCCACTTTATTTTTCTGATTTTGACTTTCTTTTGGGTTTTCTAGTTTGCGAAGTACAGGAGTAGAGGCACAGAGATAAGAATTGGTGCAAGGGTTTATAGGAGGGATGGAGGGGAGGGGTGGGGAGGGGAAGGGGGAGCAAACAGTGTAGGGGGGAGCACTCTCTAGAACTGATGGTGATTACACAACTCATAAGTGATTTAACCGTGGGGGTTAGAAAATGGTCTAAAGTGGATTGTGGTAGATGAAAATACAACTCTTCTTGATGCGGTTGAACTGTTGAATTGTGTGGTCTGTGGATCAAATGCCAATAAAACTGTTAAAACAAAGTTCCTCTCAGAAACCCAGGGGGCAGTTCTGCCCTGTCCTATGGGGGTCACTGTGAGTTGGAATCCAGTAAGTTGCAGTTTTTTTGCTTTTGAAGGAAGTCCTGGGAGCCCCCTGGGATTCTCATCAGTGCTCACAGGGGTCTCCCCAAATCTGCTGTCACCCCACCCAGATCCAGAACCCTTGGTTATTGGGTTGCTTTGGCTTGGACCTACATTCCTGGAGTCACAGTGCTGGATGAAGGAATCCTAAGAGTTGGGTCCCAAGAAGGGTGGGTTTTCAGGACACTAGGGAAGGCAAAGCACCATTTTGATGACCTGAAGCCTGGACCCACAAAGTTAGCATGCTTGCCTACTGCTGCCACACACACACACACACACACACCGGCAGTGGGGGGTGGAGGCACAGGGGAAGGAAGGAGGGAGACAGGTGAGACATGACACAAGGATGCGGAGTGCCCCCTCCTCTTGTCCTGAGGGGCCATGATCCTGAACCCTACTAGATGCAGTAGACAGTACATGGCTAGGGGCTGATACGCCACCTCCCCTTAGGCCTCATGTGATCAGAGACCAGATCCACATCCCCGTCTGACCCCTTCGGTATAGCAGTGGTGGGAGCACTAGTGCAACAAACTGGCCCAAGAGGTCATCATGCTGCCTGCAGGGGTGATGCCAGGGAGCCGCTAAGAGGATGTGCTGCCGGCTGGCAGACTTGCTTCCTACTTTTTGAGGTTGGCCTGGGTGGACCTGCTCCTGAAGTCCAGTCCAGATGTCTCTGGTGCATTGTCCCCTGCCAGCCAAAACTGACCTCGCACAGCTGATGGGCACAGCTTGAGTGTTGGTGGGGAATCAGGCTGCGTGCCCTCTGCAGCAGTGCGCCTGGTGCCCAACTGGGTGCAGGCAGCCTGCAAATGATGTGGCCACAGGTGCCCCAGGCCAGCCTTCCTCCTCTCTGGAGCCCAGCCTCAGTGCCTCCAAGGTCCCCCAGTATCCCAGCTTGAAGACCCAGCAGGATCCTACCAGCCTTACCCAGAACAAACCCCAAACTAAACTCACGGCCCTGGACTTGGTTTTGACTCAGTGACCCTATCTCCTGGTTGTGTTTCTGAGACTGCAACTTTCACTCCGTCAAGCTGATGCCGAAACCCTGCAGGAGAGTAGAACTGCCCTCGTGGGTTTCTGAGACTGTAACCTGTTTATGGGAGTAGAAAGCCCCATCTTTCTTCCACAGAGTGGCTGGTGGTTTCAAACTGTTGACCTTGCCGATTGCAGCCCAACTTGTAACCACTATGCCACCAGGGCTTTTTCGAACTCTGGATGGACACAGAAAGCTTTGTCTTCTCCCATGGAGAGGCTGATGGCTTAGAACTCTGGACCCTGAGGTGAGCAGGCCAGTGTGTAACCAACCACAATACGAGGGCTTCTTTATCTAGGGTGTCCATCCGTCCTAAAACGCTGGGGCAAAGTGGGGGGCTGGGGGGGCCGTGTGCCTGGCATGTGGGCCTAGTTCACTGAGGTTCATGAAGGGCCTTCCCCACTCGGCCCACTCCACTGACAAGGGAGCTCTCGTCACTGAGCCCACCCCATCTCAGGAAGATGGGCGGGGAGGACCTGGAGACAGTGGAGAAGTCAGCTGGTGGCTGCCCTGGAGGGTGGGGCTGGAGGGCTACCATGGAGGCTGCAGCCTGTGCTCGCTACGCCCCCTGGTGGCCGATCACCCAGCGGGCCTTGGCATGAGGGCACGTTCATTTTGCTTTGATCAGTGGGGAAACCGAGGCACCCAGTGACGATGGGACCTGCCCAAGGCCAGAGTCAGGGACAAAGCAGGCTCCCGGTGTGTCAGGGGCCTCTCAGTGGCAGTCCACATTCTGGGTCCCTGGGGGCCTGAATCTTCTTTCCCTTCCTGCAGACATGAGTTTGGGTACCCAGCCCCTTAATTTGGGCAGCTGCAGGGTGGCCCGTGGGTGGGGACAGAGGGTGAGGTGTTCACCAAGGCCAGACTAGGGGTGGGGTAGGGGCTTTAAAGAGGTAGGTGGCATTGAAAAGGGTGCCCCCACAGCAGCTCAGGGCTCCCACCCGTCTCCCTACTGCCTGACCCCATGTGGGGAGGGCTCGGCTCTGGGTGCCATCCTAGGGCTGTACTGCCTGGGAGCAGCCGCAGGGCCGGGCTGCCAGGAGAATGAAGAGGACAGAGGCTTGCTGGCCGGTCTGCGCAATTGTTTCACACTCGGGGACATAGTCACGGGCCTTGTCCGTGGCCGGCCTGAAGGCCGAGCGCCCCTGGCCCAGCCCAAGCTGATCGGCGGAGGGCAGAACCTGGCTCAGGCCAGCGCCCCGTGCAGCCGGCCCACATCCACAAAGGCCTGCACGCAGCGGTCGATGTCCTCCTCGCTGTGCACCGCGGAGATCTGCACCCGGATGCGGGCCTTGCCCTTGGGGACCACAGGGTAGCTGAAGCCAATGACGAAGATGCCTGGGCAGGGAGACAGGCCACCTGGGGCTCGCCACAGTGGACCCAGCACCCAGGTCCCACCCTCCAGAGGCCTGAGGGTTCCCGTACACCGGGTGACAGAGGGCCTGCAGTTCTCAAGCTTGAAAAGCTGGCTGGGCTAAGGGTGGTGGGGTAGGGGGTCGGGGTACATGGGAGGCTCCCAGGCCAGGCCTTTCCCCTTGCCTCTTAAGCCCGCTGACATTGAGTCGGTTCCAACCCAGTGATTTTCAAGGACAGACTAGAACCGTGCCCCAGGGTTCCAAGGCTGCCTCCTTTTCTTCCCTTAGAGCAGCTGGTGGGTTTGAACTGCTGACCTTAGCTAGCAGCCCAGCACCAAACCCAGCCCACTACCAAGGTGCCTTCCCTATCCCCTCACTCTGGTCACTGTGGTCCCACGGGGCCTCTGTTCCCCCTACCTCTCTTTAGCATGTCGTCTGCCATGCGAGAGGCCAGCCGAGCGTCCCCCAGCATCACGGGGCAGATGGGATGACTGGCCCCTGAGATGGTAAAGCCAGCAGCCTCCATCTTACTGCGGAACCTGCGGGCATGGGCTGGGTGTCACGGGCAGCTGGGGGCAAGGGGCTCAAGCTCGGGCCCAATCTGCCAAGGGACTGAGAGACAGGTGGCTGGGGCGGCGCCAGGCTGGGGGAAAGACTGGGGCTGCCGGGGCATGGTGCAGTGGGGAGATGGGAGACGGAGGTGGACCAGCAGACAGCCCTAGGCTGAGCACCAAGGCCCCCTGCAACCTTACTGGGTGGTGGTGTCCCTTGTCACCCCCTGCCCCCCAGACTGCCTGGCCCTCCCAGGGCTGCACCGGTGGGTCTTGGCCGCCATGGACTGGATAATGGCGTTGCTCTCCATGAGCAGATCCAGGGCCTTGGAGGCGCAGCCGACGACGGCGGGGGGCAGGCTGTTGGAGAAGAGGTAGGGCCTGGCCCGCTGCCGGAGCAGGGACACCAGGGCTGCCGGCCCCGTCGTGTAGCCCCCTGAGGACAGGCGGAGGAAGGGTTAGGGGTGAAGAGATGGAAGGTACCAAAGCCCCTCCTGAGAGCACAATCCATGCCACCTCTTCCCTGCAGCCCCAGATCACTCCTTCCCACCTTCCCGAGACCCCTCTAGGGCCCTGCCAGGGAGGGGGGACCCCGGGGCACCTGATGCTCCGCCCAGAGCCTTCCCCAGAGTGGAGTTGATGATGGTGACCTTGTCCATCACACCCAGTAGCTCATCGGTGCCCCTGCAAAGGAAGCCGCCACAGCTGCCTTGGGCTACCCACAGCCAGGGAGTATGGGAGGGGGTGGCAGTGGCCGCCCACTTGGTTTCCCACCCACCCTCAGGACCCCGACCCTGGGCCTTGGGTAGCACGGGCTCCCACCGTCCTGTGGGTCCCAAGAAGCCAGTGGCATGGCATTCATCCACAAAGACCAGGGCGCCGTATCTAGAGGCAAGGCGACAGAGCTCCTGCAGAGGCGCAATGTCACCGTCCATGGAGAAGGCCCCGTCGGTGGCCACCAGGCGCAGCCGATGCTTCTGTAGGGGACACAAGGGCACAGGTTGGTGGGCACTGTGAGCGGGAAGCTGGAACTTGGGGTCCAACCTTGGCTGCCTGAACTGACAGGCTGTCTATGCGTGGGGGTTGAAGCTTAGCCCCCGGCTCCCACCTGGGCCTCTTGCAGCTTGCTCTCCAGGTCGGCCATGTCCAGGTGGCGGTAGCGGTACTTGTGGGCCTTGCACAGACGGATGCCATCGATGATGGAGGCGTGGTTCAGCTCGTCCGAAAGGACAGCGTCCTCAGGGGTCAGCAGGGCCTGGAGGGAGGCAGTGGCAGCCCAGCCAAATGCCTAACTATCTGCCTTGAGGTTCCCCTGCCCCGAATCTCCCCACATTGAAATTCCCTTGCCAACCAGAGCCCCCATGCTCCTTGGCACTGCACTGTACCAGGGGCCTCGCTCTCACTCTGTTTCTGGTGTGAGATGATTAGCCAAAAGGTCGATGCTTCAAACCCACCCAGAGATGTCTAGGAAGATCCACCTGGGGATCGGATTCTAAAAGGTCACAGCCCCCACATCCCAGTGGAGTTCTACTCTGTGCACATGACAATGACCTACAACACTCCTACCGCACCTGGCCTGGCTTCCACTGTCTCCGATGTGCCAGGAGCCGGCCACCATGCAGGCGCCAGGGTCCCTACTCCCCCTCTCCTGGACACAAACCCAGCCCAGCCTCGACCACTGTAAGAAATGGGAGCTGGAGCCCCTCGGCAGGGCGCCTGGCCAGCTTCTTCTGACCGTCCACCTTCCAATCCCGCCTGGGCCTGACGGGCCCCACCCCACCCCACCCCCAGCCTCCACGCACGCACCTCAAAGAGGCCCGCGTTGGCATCGAAACAGCTGGGATAGAGGATGGCATCCTCCCGCTGGTGGAAGCGAGCGATCTTGGCTTCCAGATTCTTGTGGATGATCTGGAGGGAGGGATGGAGGGAGACAGGTGTGGTGTGTTGTAGTGGTGGTGGTGGGGAGGCGGGGGCAGGGACGGGCATGTGAGACAAATGCTGGGGGGCAGAGGCTTGGAGGGCCAAACACAGAGCCTGGTCTCCCCACTTTCTGCCCAAGGGTAACACAGGGGGCCTGGCTGGCGGCAGACCTCCGTTTCCCCTCCTCCCCTGCGGATCCAGGAGCCAGCAGAAGGCGAGCAGTCTTTCCCGAGCGCAGGTGGAGTGCCTTTGGGGCGTTGAATGGCAGAGGAGAGGATGATGTGCGTAATCTGAGCCATTAGGGCCTCCAGCTCTGTCTGAGGAGGGTTGAGAGCCCGTGCACCTGGTGAGGGCTGGGCTGCACAATGTCCCGATGGGAGCTGGCTGTTCTGCTTCTAACCTGCACGTCACCCCCACCTTTCAGAAAGGGCAGCAGGCAGGTCAGGCGCATGCACACTGTGCCGGCCAGATCTCAAAGGAGGATGAGAAAAAAAACAAGCAACTGCCCTGCTACTCTCTCTGACTCACAGCGACCCCACCCAGGGGTCCTGGGGTTTTGGAAATCTCTCTGGGACCAGACAGCCTCATCGCTCTCCCAAGGAGCAGCTCGAAGGTTGGAACCCCTGACCTGGCTGCTGGGGAGCAGACCAACACTTACTGGGCAGCGCCTATCACAAAGCAAAAAGGAGCTCATATTTGTGATGTACATGAAACAGGCCCCTCGCCTTTATCCAACATTATGTTGTTTCAAGTCAAAGACTATCTATGTACAGAGAAAGAGATGACATGGATTGAGCCAGAAGGAGCCCTGGTGGTTCTAGTAAGCTTGGGCTGCTAACCTCAAGGTTGGAGGTTCAAACCCACCAGCTGCTCCAAGACAGAAAGGTGAGGCTATCTGCCTGCATAATGACAGCCTGTAAAATTGTGGGTACTGTCACAAATTAGGAGCCCTGGTAGCGTAGAGGTTACACGTTGGGCTGCTAACCCCATAGCCAGCAGTTTGAAACCACAGATGTTTCAAGGAAGAAAGAGGTGGCTTTCTACTCCCATAAAGAGTTCTGGTCTTGGAAGCCCTCAGGAGTAGTTTGGCTCTGTCCTGTAGGGTCGCTGTGCTTCCGAACTGACCGGATGGCAGTAAGTTTGTTTGTGTTTTCTGTCACAGAGGAAAGACACACACACACACACACACACACACACACACGCTGAATACAGTGCCTGGCATATAATAAATCAAAACCCACGGCTGTCAAGTCCATTCTGACTCATAGTGACCCTTTCCAAGACGTTTTGTGACAATAATCCACAGTTTTACCAACAAGGAGAGTTAGGAAATCTGCCCCATAGTCATAAACCAAAACCAACCCAAACTCACTGATTGAGTTGATGCTACTCACAGCGACCCTAGCGGGCAAAGTAGACCTGCCCTTGTGGGTGTGAGACTGTAATTCTTGACAGGAGTAGAAAGGCTCGTCTTTCTCCTTCGGAGCAGCGGGTGGTTTTGAACTGCTGACCTTGCAGTTAGCAGCTCAACTAGTGCCCCATAGTCATAGAGCTAATAAATGAGAGCGCAGGGAGACATCAAGCTCAGGCAGAAGAATTCCAGCACCTCGGTCCCAATCCCTGCCGTCTACACCCTTTCTCTCCGATGATGGGGTAGGTGGGATGGGACCTGTTCTGTAGGTGGGAAATGAGAAGCCAAATGACTTGTGGAGGCCTCTCAGCAAACAGACATAAGGCAAACTTCCACCTGACAGCTCAGGGATCAAGAGTGGGGCCAGTGTCCTTGGAGGAGCTGAGCTGGCTAAACCAGCCCTGCTGACTGTGGGAAGTGGACAGCTGGGGTCAGTGGCCAACCCGGGGACAAAACCCCCCTCCTCCCGCTATACCTGGGTCCCACAGATGAATCGGACGGAGCTGAGGCCAGCTCCAAACTTCTCCAGGGTCTGTAGGCCTGCTTGGATCACCTCAGGGTGGCTGCTCAGGCCCAGGTAATTGTTGGCACAGAAGTTAAGGATTCCTGAGGTGGGGGAGAGAAGGTGGGAGGTGGAGGTCAAGGTAAGGACGGGCCTGGAAAGATATTGGTGCCAGACTGAGAGAGGGCATGGCCCTGTATCTGTGGCACAGAGATGTGAGCCCTGAATTCGACAGCAAGAGTGAAGGGGGCCAGGTAAACCTCTCACTGCACGTTAAAGTTTAGACTCTGGCTTTGAGGACACCAGTCCTTCTGCATGCGCTGCCAAGAGACCACCCCAAGTCCCTCATCTGGGGCTCAGTTTCTCCTGCGTAATGGAAAGGAGCAGATTCAGAGGCCCCCTCGGTGGGCCTCAAACACCCCACGTCACTTGCCATCTGGAATGGAATCGCATGCCCCAAGGGGCTGTGATTCTGGTCTCACTCCCTAGCAGGCCCTACATTGTGAAGCCCGAAGTGAACACATCTGAGGAGGCGTGGCACAGGCTGGGAGAGGCAGACCCAGGACAAGGGGGACCGAGGTCTGATTTTCCAAGCTGGGGCAGCCCGGGTTCCGGGACCTCCATTTTGCGGATCAGGAAAACAGTACCAAGGACTCTGTGTCTATTTCTCTGGCAGAAGGCAGCGTGGTGGCCTGTTGGTAACCAGGCTGGCTCAGAAACAGGGTAGCAGCCAGTGATCCAAAAGACACCGGTAAGAGAGGCCTGGCTTGATTTCTGCGGCTGCCCCCAGCCCGCTTCTACTCCGGTGACTTTGGACTCTCTGGCCACCTTCCAGATGCGAGAGCCCAGGGCCCTCAACCACAGCCCAGCTGGGACTGGAGTTGGGGGTCGGGGTTGGGCAAGCCACTTCTCAAACCCAGAGTTTCAGCTTCACCGTTTGTAAAACGGGATTATTCATTCCTACACCGAGATCTGCAGGACTCCACAGGCGGCAATTATGAGGTCTTTTGCAAAGCAAGAAAGGCAAGTCTGGCAGCCACTCCCCGCCACACAGCCTTGAAGCCACCCAGCCTTGAAACCGGTGGTTGGGTGCCGGCTGGGCTGGATCTCTCTCCTTTTATCTCACTGCTGGGCCTCCATCCAGCCGCGTGCTCAAGGGCAAATCACCTCCCTCACCGAAAACTGGTTCCACCAGGTTAAATACAGGGAGACCACAAACCCGGCCCGATGCACGGGTAGGGAAGCGGCAGCTAGCGTGTGTGCTGGTGCTGACCCCCTCCGTTGCAGCCCAAGCCCCAGGTCAGCCGATTCCGGTGTTACCTCCGGAGACGCCATCCACGTGGATGTGTGGCCCCTGCTGGGACGTGATGACTCGCTCGCTCTTCCAGGTGCCAGCCGCGCGGATCCCTTCCAGCTCCTGCTCCAGGATGCTGCTCAGCTGGGCCAGCGC